TCCGTTGACAGTGAGAACTCAATAATGTGTGTGGGATCAATGAGAAACAGGAGAGAGAAAGAAAAAGGAGGAGGCTCTTGTCGCTCTACTCTTCAATCCCAGAGACTAAGTGGTCAGCGTACCTTTCACTTAGGAAGAAGCCAGAAGGGAGGGAGCTGGTGATGGTCCCATTCCAGCAATAAAAGCAGAGGGCTCTGATCTTATCAGCCTTTCTGTTGCCATGATGACAAGGAGCCCCAGAACTGTGCCCCTTGCACCTTTTGTAAGCTTTCCTAGGCTGAGTGACTTCCGTGTTGTGGTTTCCCTGTGGTGAGAAATAGTTCAGCCGGTAGCATGCAAGAGCTGTATGTAGTACTGTCTCAGGACAGCGCAGAGGTGGAGCTGGGAATCACCGCATGCCAGCGGTAGAAGAGGAATTTCCCAGGCAAGAAACTGGATAACAGCAGCTTCAAAAGAGGGAGGAAAAAAGGCTGAGGCTATGGGACTGCAACTAGGAAGAAAAGCTGAGCTCAGACCATTGGTCTGGACTTGAGAAGAGACCGGTAAGTTTAAAAATATGCCCCTGAAGACCTTGCATGGGAAGCTGTTTCAACAGATGCCAAAGAGTTTGGGCCTGTGGCCAAACCTGGAAAGAATGTTTTGAGACCCGGCAGTGATTCAGGGGATTAGTTCTGCCTTGGAAGAAAACGCAAAAATGGAAAGAGCTCTTCAGAAAAATATTCCAAAACCAGAGCCCCCAAGTTTCATTTTTACATGCCAGCTCTGATCAGTTGGTAGGGCTTTCGGGATTGCTAAATTGAAAAGAAAGCTAAAGCTATGACCAGACTCAGTTAAAAAGAAAGAAGGAAGGATGGAAGGAAGGAAGGGAGAAAGGAAGATGAGTCCTACGATTGATTAATCATGTCTGCCATAGAAAAGAGTCTGGGAATCCAAAGGGAAGACAGGCCGGTGTGGTGGCTCACACCTGTAATCCTAGCACTCTGGGAGGCTGAGGCAGGATGATCACTTGAGGTCAGCAGTTCCAGACCAACCTGAGCAAGAGCAAGACCCTGTCTCTACTAAAAAAAATAGAAATGATTAGCCAGGAAATACTAAAAATAGAAAAAGTTAGCCAGGCATCGTGGTGCTCACCTGTAGTCCCAGCTACTCGGGAGACTGAGGCAAGAGGATTACTTAAACCCAGGAGTTTGAGGTTGCTGTGAGCTAGGCTGATGCCACAGCACTCTAGCTCAGGCAATAGAACAAGACTCTGTCTCAAAAAAAAAAAATCAGGGGGAAGATAAAAGGGGAGATTCTAAAAGGTACTGTTGAATGACTTAAATATGAAAGGCTGTGTTGTGTACATTAGTGGAAATATGATAGGCTTTGTCATTAGAGCTGATTTTGAATCCTGGTTCTGCCCAATGTATTAGCTATGTAATTTTGGGCAGTTTACAAAACCCCATCTGTAAAATGGGATCATCCTGCAGATTACATAGAAATTGCTATGCAAGTATTGCCTATAATTATTATAACACTCACACAGCAATTCTAGGTGTCACGCATTGTTCTAAGAACTTTGCGAATATCAATTCATTTTATTATCACAACAACCCTATAAGGTTATTATCCCCAATACACTGACAAGGAAACTGAGGCTTAGAAAGCTTAAGAGGCCTGCCAACGGTCACACAACCAATGAGTGGCCAGAGCCAAGATTAAAACCCAGGCAGTCTGGCTCTGAGTACATATTCTTAACCACCTTACTAGTTAACTAGAGCCAACCACTTTCCACTGCTGTGATTGCTATCCTTATGTGGCAAGCAACTGACATAAGCTCTGTGATTTAACTTAACTCCATAAGACTTGCACCCTGACTTTCTCACACACATAAAACTCGTTTAATAGAGCACTTCATCTTACACCATGTGAACTGAAGAGTCATGAACAGGACAAGAGTAGGGGTTGTTCATCTGAAGAAAAGAGAAAGGACAAAATCAGGACTCAGGAGTTTGGCCTCTACCAAAATATGTCTTGCCTTTTTACTCTTTGCTATATAGCATGAAAGGTTTACTCAAAATTCACCAAAATTCACAGGGCAGGTGTCTTATTCCATTCAAGCAGCTACAATAAAATGTCAAGAAATGTTCATTGACATTATGTGATAAACGGTTCAGGGATCAACTGTTTGGGAACCACTGTGTTAAACAGCCTTAGGAGGAGTTCTCTACTGTGAGACTTCTCAGGACCTTTAAAATGCTATTATCCCTTGAGATTTTTAAGAGGGCGTTATAGTTCACAGAACATATTTTTCCCATAGGACTATGTTCTGCAGGACATTCTTTGGAAAATGTTGAAATAAAAGAAGCATTTAGAATCATGTTCCTTGGGAACTAGAAATGAAAATTATGAGGGCCGTGGCTTAATGAACATATCTTTCTCTTAACAAGGAAAGACGAAAAACAAAGAAGAAATAAGGAGAGCCAGAGTGGAAGAAGCAAAGATAGGTGTTTAGAGGGAAGAAGGAAGAAAGCATGGCCCTAGAGAGATGACATGTGAGGATATGAGGAACACTTGGATGACCACAGTGTGGGAGGGAGCAATGTGTCAAAAGCAGAGGTGTTGCCAAATGCAGGACATGTGGTCACTCACTGCCATCATCAGCACCACCAGAGAAAGTAACTTTTCTGTGGTCTCAGTACTTTGCAGACCCTGTGTTATGTCCTTTATAGACATTATGCCATTTAAATCCCATTTTACAGATGAGGAAATGGAGGCACATGCAAGTTAAGCAATTCACCCAGAGTCAAGCTTATAAAACTTCTTAGTGGCAGCACATAGATTCGATCCAGCAAACTTGACCCCAGAACCCATGTTCTCACTGCTACATTGCATAACTCTACTAGTAGCGTTAGAGGGAGAACTGGAATTCCATTATGTAATACAAAAGGATATTGCACAGAAGTGCAACGCCAAAACATTTGGAGAAAAAGGAAAAGACAAAAACCAACCAACCAACCAGCCAACCAATATCACTTTGGATATTTGGCTGCACAGGGCAAAACAGCTAGAGGTCTGATTTTTTCCCACAGCCCATCCAGATGTTCAGATACCATCATGTTTTCTTTCTCTTTCTTTTTTCACTCTTGTGTTAACTATCCCTTCTTAACTTATGGCATAAGTTATATATCAGGCTATATCAACCGTATCTAGTGTATTAAACTTGGCTCATAAAGTGAACATAAGACTTTTTTTGAATGTTAAAAAGCATTTTTCAACCCGAGGACTATGACTACTGTATTTACAATAAGCCTCACATAGGTTTCCACAACTGCCAGTTCTGGGGATGGGCGGGCAGTGAGGTGGGGAGGCCCTTAGAACAGCTTCCTAGGACAGATTCTGAAAACATGAATCACAGCTCAATTAAATCATTTGTGGCTCAGAACATATCTGCATTAAACACTGGCATTTAGCCACATCCTAACTGCTGATTTCTATGCATAAAATCTGATGCAAATAGTAAATCACACTATTTCGGGGGGAGAAGGGGGTATAAACTCAGATCTGGAAAAGCAGTCCAGGATGTGAAAATCTTGCACGCTGGATTCGTTGCAGATGGCAAAAAATGGTTCCGTTGGAATGCTACAAATACGGACTGGGGCACTTCTAAGGCAAAGTTTGTGCGCAACAGTCTGACACCTCTGATTTACTTTCTTGGGTCTGTAGCAAAATAAAGGGCTGCTGCAGACAGGCCAGGGTCAGATGAGATGGAAAGACTGCAGGCTGCTCGTAAATTTCTCTATTTACCTGGTGAATGGTGAGGGTAGGGCTTTGGGCTCCTCGGTCCAGAAGAGCTGCAGGGCAGAGCGTTCCAGTCGTGGCTGGCCCTGGGCTGCTGCCCTCACGCTGCTTCGGCTGCTTCTAAGATCCCACTGGAAGTCCCAAAGGGCCGGAGAGCCCCCAGGCCAATATTACGTTTCCGAAAGAATATTCCTTCCCCCACCCCACACCCCGCTTTGCTTGCGTTGACTGAGGAGCGCTCGGGTTTCCTCCACCGCTGCGCAAAGCAGCTGGGAACCCAGGCGTTGCGCTGGCAGAGCGAGGCGGGCCCTGAAACCACTTCCAGATGTGCTCGGCTGGCGGGCTGGGATCCGCCAACTTCCTCTCACAGCCTGGTCCAGCAGTCTGCGTGCAAAGCATTTCGAAAACAAGGCTGTTCTGGAGGAAAGGATTCAAAATCAGAGAAGAGCAAATGCTTAGCGGGTGAATTTCTACCAAAGGTAGACTTTGAGAGAACAGAAGTGAAAAATAAAGTTCACACTGAGTTTGAAAATCTTCCTAACCACTAATTTCCGAAATCCCGTAGTCATTAAAACGCTGTTGCCCTCAAATTAAAACCCAGATAACAACCACGGTCTCATTCTACCAAGGCAATGATAATGATAAAAGTTTCAAGATGGAGTGTTTTGTGCCTGAACACCGGGAGGAGTCAGGCAGGGAGCTGACCTCGACAGCAGTCTAGGCTGTTCTGTATTTCTGCCATCGATTCTCAGAAACCTGGGAAGAAGGGCCAGCACTTTGCCTGGGATCTGGAATTCATTTCTGCAGTGGCCCATCTTCCTAGTTCCCGTAAGGAAGTAAGAATCCCCTTGTTTGCTGTTTCCTTCTGAAGTGGTGCTCTCAAACGGAAATATAATGCACACCGCACTGTTATTTTCAATTTTCTAGTAGCCACATTAAGAAAAATACAAAGAGGTAAAATCTATTTTAATGATTTATTTTATCCAACACATTTTATCCAACAAAATATTACCATTTCAACACACCATCAGTATAAAACATCCTCGACAAGACATTTTACATTCTTTTTTTTAACTAAGTCTTTGAAATTTTGTATGTATTCTACATTTGCAGCACATCTCAATTCCAACATTAAATTTCATCGGAAACACTCAAAGATATATTTAGATTTCATAAAATTTACAATTTAAAAAGTAGATAGGCCGGGCGTGGTGGCTCACGCCTGTAATCCTAGCTCTCTGGGAGACCGAGGTGGGCGGATTGTTTGAGCTCAGGAGTT